AAGACATTTCTCTAAGGTTTGGAATGAGAACATATATATATATATGTGTGTGTGTGTGTGTGTGTGTGTGTGTGGTTTAGACTCGATTCCTGAATTTTCCTTTACTTAAATATCCTTTAATTATTAGATTATATTATTAGAATCATCAAATTCATAATGCAAATAGACAAACTATAAATTTATAACTTATATTCCATCTTCGAAGGACTTAGACAAATAGACTTAGTATGAACCAGGTTATTCCCACTACAGAAGTTAAACCCTTAATCTAACGGTTGAATTTAATTTCCTATCTATCATGATACTATCCTCCAAATTATAGCTCAATCTAACGGTAAATGAACTTTAAAATACTAATTTACTATTCATGACTCTATTTGCTAAATCCAAAAGATATAAGTTAAAAATGTACCTAATAAATTGTAAATCAGACATCAAAATGATGATCCAACTGTTGAATTAACGATTTGGATGTCCCAAATGGGCTGACCAAATTTCAGTCTGATCCAACGGTTAATAAACTCAAAAATAGCACTTTTTCTAGACTACCTCAGATATGTGCGAAAATTATTTACTCACTTCAAGCTCCACTCACTATCTCCTATATATAGGCTCCTCAAACTCTTTCACTCTAAAGATTAGTCGATGTGGAACTTCTTAACATTGCTATTTTATCCACTTCCTATCATTTAATCAGTGTGGGACTTCTTAACATCGTTATTTTATTCATTTTCTCATACACATACACACACACAAAATCATAATTATTTTAATTACATATATGTATATTTAACCTCTACCTATTCTATAAAAAATTTGTTTAAATATTAGATATATGAAAATTAGGATGTTATAGTTACTTTAGGATTGAAGCTTAAAATTGGATTTTATTAACTATTACAAAAAACTGAGCAATGAATGGAATTAAATACTTGTACTTGACTTGAGAAAACTTGTACAAGTACTTTTTGAATTATAAACTAACATATATTTTCATTAAAAACATTTAGGGAAAATGACACATAAAGAAGCCTGAAATAATAAAATACCAAAATGGGAAGCTAAGCAAATGTATTACCAGATAGGGAAGTATTGCCTGATTTGGGATTATGCAAATGTTGCACAATTACGAAACAGCCCCTGCCAGTCAGCGTTTGAAAGCGGAGAGAGAGAAGGCGCGAGCACTCATGCACTGCCCGTTGTGCTTCCCGGTTTCTCGCTTCCACCATCCCCATTGTTGCCCTAAAAACGCCGGCAAGCTGGACAGTTGAGGACCCTGAAATAGTGTGTGCGTAAGAGAGCAGAGGAGTTGGAAGTGGAAGGGTGTGCTATTCAAAGGGCGAACGTGGTCGCGTCTGACTGATTGTGTGGAAATACGAAGGTTGGCGCATGGTGATTCACCATTGCAGTTAACAAGCATCAACAGCATTTCAGTGAGGTAAGTTTAGGCATTTAAGTTTCGTGCTATGGTCGACGTTTCTGGGTGAGTCTGGGAAGCAATGATTGGGCAATATTTAGATATGACGTGATGAAATTTGTGAATGACAGGAATGGCGATTAAGGGTTTATGCTGAGTCTCTGTGGCAAGCTATTTTGTTTTTAATAACGTAGTTGAGAACTAGAAAAATGGGTTTTCAAATCAGTAGGAAACTTGTCTGATTGACTGGAAAAATTATATGAACAACTGGAAATGACAATAACATACTGGTAAATGACTATGATCGAACGTAAAATGACCATATTCATAGTAATGACCTTACTGTCTGAATGAGTGGAAAGATTATATGAATAAACTGGAAATGACAATACCAAACTGGTAAATGACTATGAAGGAACTTGAAATGACCATATTCATAGTAATGACCTTACTGTCAGACTGTAATGGCCATGTTGGTAATGACAATGAATTAATTGGAAATGACCATATTCATAGTAATGACCTAACTGTTAGTCTGTAATGGGCATATTAGTAATGACAATAAATTAACTGGAAATGACCATATTCATAGCAGCATCCTTACTGTCACTCTGTAATGGTCATATTGTAAATGACAATGAATTAATTGGAAATGACCATATTCATAGTAATGACCTAACTGTTAGTCTGTAATGGGCATATTGGTAATGACAATAAATTAACTGGAAACGACCATATTCATAGCAGCATCCTTACTGTCACTCTGTAATGGCCATATTGTAAATGACAATGAAGGAACTGGAAATGACCATAACGAATCTGGAAAGAACTAGATATCTAGTATATGAATAAAAATTATGATTTAATGATGGTACCTTGATGACTTTGCAGAACTATACGAGATGGTGTTGGAAGAAGGGGAAGGGTCCACAAGCAAAGGAGTCCACAGTGGGCTTGTGTTGTTCAGAAGGGAGTATATGGCAAAACGAGGGGAGAAGTGTAAAAACGCAAGAGAAGAAAAAATTGAAGTGGGGAAGGCATGGAGGGCCCTGAGTGAAGAAGAGAAAGATAGGTATAATGAGAGGGCAAGGAAAACGAAGCCACAGAAAGGTGAGAAGAAGAAGTATGATGTTCCCTTGTACACCCGGTGCTCATTGCCCGGATTTCTATCATTGGCTGAATATGTAAAGAAGAACAGGCGGTTGAGGCAGAAAGTTCAGAGGATGGGATTTGGGAACTTGCTTAATGTGAATGTGAAGCAACTTCCACGTGATCTACTTGTGTCATTGTTGAGATGCTATGACCCACCAGCATTTTTTGACCATTAGAGGGCAAGGGCAGGCAATTGAGGCAAAAGATGCCCATGAGTTTCTAGGTGTACCTGATAGTGGGGAGGAAGTGAAATCTGATGTTAGTGAGGATGACCCGGAATACAAGAGGTTAAAGGACACTTATTGGAAGGTTCCATTTACCCAGATACTGAAGAGGATATTATCTGGGGAAGAAAGCGACAATTTTGAGTTCCTATTTATGCTTTATACAGTTGGAGCTTTTTTATGTCCTGGGTCAAGCACAACTGTACATATACGTTTGTTGAAAGTGATGCGTCACACAATGGATGGGTTTGGGAAATATGATTGGTCAACGTACATAATCAAGAACCTGTGGAAGGAAATGGGAGACTTTGTGAAGATGACAAAGAAGAAGAACAAAAGAACCTGCAATGTTGGAGGGTGTCTTTATTTGCTGCTGGTAAGTCAATATTTTTCTTATGGTTCACTATATTTTTGTTTTATGTTATTGTTGCAGAAGTGTGACCTATCTTTATTTGGTTTTGCAACTGTATTTTGTTGAGCGTTTCCCGCTAGGATTGTCTGTTGACCGGGGTTCAACAAGCACCATTGAATATTGGACCGAGGAGAAGATAAAGGAGAGGGTGGAGAAAGAGAGAGGTAGCAGCATGGGAATATTGCATGGAAGCAGTGGCAGCGAGGTATTCTCAGCAGGACATGAGGACAGTCCAATTCTGCAGTCTTTAGATCCGGTATGTGGGAACTTAGAAAATATACGTGACCTGAGTTTAAGTCAGTCTATTAGCAAGGTTGATACTTGAGATGACAAGACTTTATTTACAAATGACCAGTGAGATACTGGCATTCGATAACAGTGAACAATTTTTTTGATATCTTCATTTACTGTGTATGCAGGCATTGAAGGAGTTGAGGGCTCGTTTTGTGAAGAAGCTTGAAGAAAGCCAGAGGACGTTAATGAAGGCTCTTGATGATGAGCTACTCAAACTGCAGATTGGATTGAACGCCAAAGTTAAGGGGATGGGGAATGAGAATGCCACTGCTAAAGAAGGGGTTGAAACAGTTGGTGATGCAGCTGGTAACGATGCTGAAGAAGCTGATGATGTTGACCGAGTGGTGGAGGAGATTGCAAGAGAGGTTGCAGCGGGAAGTGCAGATGAGGAACTTGATGAGGATGAAACCAGCAAAGGAGATGATGAGAAGGATGAGGATGAAGAACAACATGACCTTCATGACAGGGAAGTCAGTGATGATTACATGGTTGAGGAGGTGGAAGAAGAGGGTGACCGTGATGGTCATGGAGGTGATGATGATGAGATGAGGATGAGAAGGAAGATGACCATGATGACAGGGAAGGAGGTCATGTGGTTGATGAGGAGGAAGATGACCATGATGACATGGAAGTCAGTCATGATTATGTGGTTGAGGAGGCGGAAGATGATGATAAGGAGGTTCGGGATTCAGATGATGAGGGTGAGGAAGATACACATGTACTGACAATGACCCCTACCAATGTTCCTTTGCTGTTGGATCGCGAATGGGTGAGCAGTGACAGTGGGGAGGAAGGAGGGCCTGAAAAATCGATTGACCTTAGGAGGTCAACAAGGGCAAAGAGTTCCACAATTAAATCTCCGTGGATAGAATTCAAGGCAGCTCCGAGGACGAAGAGGCCAAAGGAGGAAAGGGACATCTTTTTCACTTTAATATCCCGTAGACCCAAGGGAGAGGAAGAGGGGAATATGTAAGTATATCCCTAGCTAGCGTTTTGTTTTTAAATGACACAGTGTGCCCTGACAATGACAGCAATAGAATTGAAAATGACAATAAAATACATGGGATGACAAGTATTGATGTCCCCAACACCATACTTTCTGTCACTGACATCTGACAATGTTTGCAGGACTGTCATCAAAATGTTTGATGAAGATATAGACCGACAACAGCTGTTTTCCCTGGGTGGAGTGAACAGAGTAAATAACAGGGTATTTTAGAATGCTCTGTCCCTGCACCCATGATTATGTTTGATAATGTTTGGTGAGATTATTGTATCAGAATGACGTTTTCACTTGTGTTCTGTAGGTGCTTAATTTGGTGTGCAAGGCAGTGATGGAGGACATGAAGGCAGAGTTGGGGCCAGGGAAGAGGCACATTTTCGATGTTGATTTCATGGTGAGGTTGCATAATTCCAAATGCAAATACCAATGACAGCAATTGAATTGGAAATGACTTGTTCTCTGTTAATGGATTAACAATTTCATGTCATGCAGAACATGATGGCACATGATCCAACCTGGAAAGCCCAAAAATATAAGAAGCTCTTTCTTCCTGAGTTCCTTGGCTACAACTTAGCTGAATGTGATTTCATAATTGGTCCGGCTCTTGTTGGCCAACACTGGTTTTGCGTTGCCATTCAGCCTAGCACATTGGATTTCCACGTAATAGACTCCATGAGGAACCATTTCGGAACCAAGGACAGAAAGCAGAAGAAGAAGGTTGTCATCAAAGACCCAGTGGAAATGGCTGTGGATGACTGTGTAAGAAAAAACTCATTATCTTTACCCTAGTTTTTGAACTTGGAAAATCATTAAACTTTCTATGTTGGTCCTGAATCTTGTTGCAGAGGATGAGGTTCAATATTATACTGGACTTGGTCAAGCCAGGATTGGTTGGGAAAAAGCCAATGTCTCCCATGATATTTGCAGAAGTTCCCCAGCAGAATAACCTGTCAGTTTTGTCAAATTCGATTTCTGTGTGGTAAATGCACATGTCAGATGTGTTAACTAACTGTGCTGATATTGTTGCGTCCACAGGAGGGATTGTGGGGTGCACTGCATGATGTGGCTGAGAAGATGGGAACCTGGTGTGACCCTTACCTACACAGAGGAAGAAGTTGCTGGCTTTCGTCGTGACCTGACATGGTGGTTGGTGAATCATGAACAGAATGAAAAACGTGACGAGGCATTGGCCCTTATTCGACGACCACAACCAACCAAGAGCACAAAGTCCAAGAAAAGCGTCGGTCTTAGGTGTCTCGATGTTAGGGTCATAATTCACTTGTCCTCTGTTAGATTGCTGTATGTAATGTGCATTGTAGGCTGACAAAAATTTACTGTGTATTGTTATGGTTAACAGAGATTGGTGTCCATAAATTTATGATAGTTGAGATCCATGATGCCAATTTATTCCCCAGTGACATGAATGAATCTGGGTTTAACCACACCAAAACAGATGATGACAACAACCCCATTGGACATGTGCTATTGGTTTTCATTTTTTTCAGGTCACTAAATTTTACTTCAATATATCCTGTTGGTATCCAACAGAAAATGACACCAAGTAAAGCAATATAACATCGATAATGATAAGGATAACCTGGTCTGATTTTACAACATCAGTTCAACACGGCTGTCAGCTTATGCTGATAGCATCACTGCCAATGACCAGAACAAATTTAAAAATGACACCAAGTGAAGCGAATATAACAGCGATAATGATAAGGATAACCTGGTTTGATTTTAAAACATCAGTTTTCCACAGCTGTCAGCTTATGCTGATAGCATCACTGCCAATGACCAGAACAAATTTAAAAATGACACCAAGTGAAGCGAATATAACAGCGATAATGATAAGGATAACCTGGTCTGATTTTACAACATCAGTTTTCCACGGCTGTTAGCTTATGCTGATAGCATCACTGCCAATGACCAGAACAAATTTAAAAATGACACCAAGTGAAGCGAATATGACAGCGATAATGATAAGGATAACCTGGTCTGATTTTACAACATCAGTTTTCCAAGGCTGTCAGCTTATGCTGATAGCATCACTGCCAATGACCAAAACAAATTTAAAAATGACAACAAGTAATGCGCCATTAACAAAAGCTAACATCCCCATAACAGTAACTTCCTTTCATGTATTCAACAACAAGTGGACATTAAGATACTAGCCACACTTAATGCTCCCTTATCACTGAAATTTCTATTAGCTTACTTACAAAAAAATGTCTCCACCTAGCTCCTAACTACAACCCCAGTCCCAAAAAAGTTGACAAGGGCGGAGCATACAACTATGTACACCAAAAAATGACCCATCCCCACTGTACTCGAAACTTCATGATGGGTTAGGATTTCTGCAATTCCTCCTTGTGTGTCCAGGCTGGTGGCATCTTCCACAGTGGTATATCCGTTTGTTCTGGAACTGTGATTCATCCCTGTTTACTTTTGGCCTTCCTGGTGGTCGGGATGTCATGGGAGGTAGCAAGAAAACTTGCTCACTGACATTTTCTATTCTATAGTAGTCATTTGGGTGAGGCATGTCTGTTGTTACCACAGGAATCATACTGCGAGCATAAATCTTTTCTTGTGATGACTTTTTATAGCAATTATCAATATAATCATAAACATTGCCGTGCACAATCTTGATGGCAGCACAAAAGATCTGCAACTGCATTGGTGTAGTCCAAGATCAACCCGATGGTCTCCACGTGATGTTGTCACCTTCACTCTTCCCCCACCATAATTTTCAGCATACATATGGTCAGACCCAGCCACCATATCCAGCACCTTACTCTCTATATTTGGACCAACGCAATTCTTCCATTTGGTCATAGCCACATAGGAGGCATGCAGCTTTCTTGCAACTTTATCTCGGTGCTCATAGATCAATTGGGGTACAGTATGCTTTCTCTCATTCACCATCCATGCATTGAATGATTCTGCTATATTACTTGTAATATTGTCCCATCTTTTATATGGGAACCTGCTTTTAGCCCACCTATCTACATCCCCATGATGAATAAGCCAATCAAATAGCCTTGGAGAAAAGGATCTCATGTCATCCATTGCTGCCTCAAATTTCTCATCCGTCCTTGCATATACAATTTTATCCAATAAATATAGTGCATCCTCCTTTGATCGGCCATTTGTCCTTGTTTGCCCCTTATTCATTTTCATAACTTCTGAACTAAAATTCTCCTTGATGTGTCTATAACAAAAGGCATGCCTTTGACCCCCAAAGATTGATGCCACTCCTCCGATGATAGCATTGTGTCGATCTGATACAATCGTTACTTCCACAGAACCCAGGATTTTTTTTATCATATAGAAAAACCACGTCCAGTCATCTAGTGTTTCTCCCTTCACAATTGCAATTGCAAATGGCAGCAGCTCGTTATCTGCATCATAAGCTGAAGCTGACAACATTGTCCCCTTGTATGGTCCGCTTAAGTGAGTTCCATCAACATACATAATATGCCTCGCGCCACCCAAGAAACCCTCAATGCATGCCCCGTAGGCAATGAAAACACACTCAAACCGGTTCCCAATAGCAGTCCATTCAGCCACTGATTTTTCATCTGTTTCCTTTATCCTTTCGCATACCCATGGTATGAGCATGTATGATTGTTCAGGCCTGCCATATATGTCTTCCAATGACTTCTCTCTTGCTCTATAAGCCTGTTTATATGTTAGATCAATCCCATACTCTCGTTTCAACCTCTTCCTTATCTCAGAAGTGCGCTTGTCTGCATGATCCCTCATCTCATCAATTATTATTGATGAGTTCAAACTAGCTCTTCCACTATGCATCACGTCCAAGCTATCTTGGGCAGAATGAACATGCCGGTTTATAAATGTCGTCACTCGTAGCACATCACAACTCTTCCCCACATGATTTGCACATAGCTTCCATGGACAACCCTCAACTTTACACCTCATCGACATGAATTCCTTGCTATTCCTCATATACTTGGCCACAAACTTGTTTGCAAGTGCAAACTTGTATACAGACACCCGAAATACATCTGCACTAGGAAAACGTTGGCCCACTCCTGTTAAAAGTCCCCTCCATTCCGCATGAACCATCTCACTACCATCCGTATCTTCAGCTCCGATAGATTTATCCACATTAGGGGGCCCACTTATTTCATCATTGTCACATTCACGAGCATTTTCTTCACTGAGCCAGCCATAATCACAACACAAACTAATGGGAGACGCATCCAGTTCCGTTTGCTGTGACATGCCCATGAATCTCTCTGTTCTGCATTCATAATGACAAGACTCGTTAACACAAATGACAAGAAGAAATTCATAAATGACAACAAATAGTTAGGACAAACTTCCACTTACATTTCTACATTGTCCCTTGGTTGGGGACCCACTTGTCTTTTTTCGGCCACATACACATGACCGCTGTTCCCATTGTATTGAAAGAGGTTATACATTTCAGCATTGTCATGAAGGTCAATCAATGTCTTCTCATCAAAGGCCACTGTGTACTTAATGTCATAATTTCTTCCATCACCACCAATCCACTCAGATATCATTAGCCTCAATTCATCAAGTGTCAGCCCATCCTTAATGCTTCTTAACCTCACACCACCTCCATTATATCTCACTTCACCTTCACCATTTGTCACAAATTTCCCCCCACATGAAAATAACAGAACAGCTCCTTCCCACAAGATGACCCAGCTTCGAAATTCATTTATCTTCATTACCTGCACTGATAACAGAAGTCGAATGATTATATGACTTAATACCATCATCATCAACTTACACGACCAACTTAGGGTTTGACACATTCATGCTTATAATTTGCAACAAAACACTCATTTCTTTCCAGTCCACACTAATGCTTCATTTTCTCAAAATCAATCCACTCCATTATTCGAATCTCCCTCCAACATTGTCCCTTTATCTGACACTAATCACTCTAACCCACTTGTGACACCATCAAACCCCTCTCCCTCAGTGTTTTTCCTTCCCCGTGCATTCACCCTCTGATCACCGTCCTTCCCCACACTTTCTATATACTCACACTGTCTCCATGCTTCGCCACCCTCTCCACCTCAAAACCATCCCCACATCGACGACATTGCCATCCAACGGGAAGAGGAAAATCAACCAGCGCATAAAGGAGAGGGACAAAAGACAGAGGCGAACAATATAGTCACTGAATACTAACCTCGCTTCCGTCGTTCAGTTGTTGCTTCGCGCGTTCATGCTCCCACGTTCATGGTCCCTCCCAAGTTTTTCCTCCAGCTCCCGCCACAACTTGCACACTTCCACCGGTCACTTTTTCTGTTTGCATATGAGGGGTTGTTTTGTAATTATGCAACATTTGCATAATCCCAAATCAGGCAATACTTCCCTATCTGGTAATACATTTGCTTAGCTTCCCATTTTGGCATTTTATTATTTCAGGCTTCTTTATGTGTCATTTTCCCAAACATTTATGAGAGGAGATAAATAACATGTTATGAAATGCAAGGAGAATGAATAGTCCTAGGCCTTTTTATCCCTTGAAGTTTAAGGATAAATTATTTTCATTACTTTTGAATTTTAAATTTTGTTTTTGAAATTCACTTTCTCCATCAGAAATTTGTTTGGCTTAACTTAATTAAATTTACTTAGTCATTTGTTTAGTCTTCATTTTTGCACAAATCTTCGGTGCAAACAATGTTTTCTTATCATTGTATTACTTGTCACGACCCATACACTGGCGGTGCAAATAGTGGGTGTGAATTAGTTATAAGTGAGGGTTCTTTTTAGAAGATTTTGTTGACCCAATTATGTGATTTAATAAAATAGATAAATTCAAGTATACCACTATTTAAAAGAAGGGACAAATAAGGGGAAAAATAGTAATAAGATAAATGATAAAAGAGAATGTGATATGAAAAAAAGATGAGGAGATAGAATAAAAAATAAATTAGAAAAAAAATTGTTAAAAATACATTTAATGTTGAGATGCTTATAAACTCGATCTTATAAAAGGTATCAAATCAATTTAAGCTTTAGGATCATATGAAAAGCACTGGACGAGCAATAAGGACGAGGGTGAGTATGGCTAGATAATACACGTAGATTTTTTGGGTACACAGAACAGTAACATAGTACAGGTGAATTGGTTAGGGGCGTTGGCAGATAAAGCAATAAAGACGCTGGTAAAAGATGTGAATGATTTTGTAGTCTAGGGGTTCAATCATACTTCTCAGGTAATTGGTGCATATCTTCTAAATAAGAAATGATCAAAAAGATTTTTTAAAAAAGTTGGTAGAAGACGAGAATGTTTTAGATACTAAAAAAGGAAAAAAAAGAAAGTAAATAGGTAATCGTTTTGTCAAAACCGCTACCAGTGAATGTTAATATAATATTTATTAATTTAAAATTTTTAAATAATAGAAATAATAATCCTAAAATTATCCAAAAAAATAATTCTAAAATTAATATTGAAATTGGTTTAGGTGTTCTAAAACTGCTACAAATATTCTAGAACCGTCTATTTGCCTAGCTTGTCGAAATCCGTAATAGCTTGTGTAGTAGTTTTTTTAAGAATCGTTACAAAATAACGGCTACCAATTGCAACAAGAAGACAGACCAAATCACTACTAAATAAACACCACCTAGCAACCCATATATATACCGCTGTCAATTTCTCTTATATTCATTAGCTTTTTCTTCGAATTGAAGCACATATCACAGGGAATATTATAAGTCCCCAGGTTTATTCTTACCCCTTTTTTTCTTGGTTACAGCACAAGTTTCTTCTGTTTAAATACACATTATTCTCCTATTTACCCCATGAACTGTCTCCCATTTTCTCAAGAGCCAATGACAATTTGGTTGCAGATAGAGATGATGATGCCTGGGTTCACAACATGCAGTTTTCATCAATTTAAAAGACCTTAAGCTTTCGAACACGAATTTTGTTACCAATTGATAAGAGCGCATTAGATCTAAACTTTCTTTTTGGCCCCAGAGGAATCTACAACATAATTTTTCTCTAACATCTTTTACTACTATGTGAGTTCGAAGAAAGTTATGCCCATAAATTGAGCATGTATTTCCCATTTATATTTTTTTCTTAATAGATTTTCCATTATTGATAACATAGATTTTCTTAATAACAGAAGACAATGAATCATCTTAAACAAATATGGCTATTAACAGTTATCAGAAATACTATTCATATGAATGATTTAGTTTAGTGAAAAGGAATTACGTTTTAAATTTTTGAACCATTCATAGTAATTGAATTAAAAAGATAAAGAAATCAATAGCATGTACTATAGCTTGAGATACTTTAAAACAAAATAAAATAGTATCTGGGTTATCTAATTTTATTAATTTGAACAATCCAAATTCAAGGTAAAACATGCATCCCCACTTGAATCTTGAATAATGGACTCACACATTTAATTATGAACAATTCCCTCACATAAACAATAATGAAATCTAAACCCACACTCTTATTAGGCAAGAGCAATGTCTAT